TAATCCTGACCCATAGCCTCTCAGTTGGCTCTTTATCCATCCCTAGGCTGAGCTCCATGCATTCCAGCTGCTCGTTAACATATAAGGCAACACTGCCTCCTCATTTTCCTTGCTGGTCTCTCCTGAAGAGCCTGTAGCCTTCCATGGCAACACTCCAGACATAGGAGTCATCTCACCAAGTTTCCACGATGCCAATGAGATTGTAGCCTTGGAGGCGTACACACATCTCTAGCTCCTCCTGTTTGTTCCCCGTGCTCTGTGCATTTGCATAGAGGCACTTCAGCCGTGTCTTTGCTGAGGCTGACCTGGCTGGAGCAGCTGTAATTAGTTTGCGCCGCTCTCCAGGGGGCATTCCTTTCCTGGGTATTAACAGTGCCTCCCCATTGGCTCCTGTTTGTCCAGGAGCTTCTGGCTCGTCTATGTAAGACTTTGAGCATGTTGCAGCATAGCCAGCACATTTTGGAGCTAATGGCTGCAGGCCCTCACCAGCACCCTGTTCCTCTTTCCTGGTACAACATTTCTTGGCTGGTCACGGGCAAACCCGATAATATCCCCTTCCCCCGTCGAATCTAGTTTAAAGCCCTGTTAATGAGCCCTGCTAATTTTGGGGCAAAAACCCTTCTTCCTCTTTGAGTGAGCCAGCCCCCATCTGCTGCCAGCAGGCCTGGTGCCGCACAGGGCATTCCATTGTTGAAAAACCCCAAATTGTGGCAGTGACACCAGCCACGGAGCCATGTTATTAACAATCTGAGCTCGTCTGTTCCTTTCAATGTCATTGCCCGCAACGGGAAGTAGAGATGAAAAAATAACCTGGGCTCCAGATCCCCATAGTGACTGACGCAAGGCCCTAGTATCTCTTTTAATCATCCTCACACTCCGATCTGCACATTCATCGCCCCCCACATGGAACAGGAGCAGTGGATAGTAGTCCGAGGGCTGCACCAGGTGAGGGAGTCTCTTTGTGATGTCCCTAACCCGTGCCCCAGGGAGGCAGCAAACTTCCCTGAGAGTGGGTTCTGCCCTACATATCGGGCCCTCTGTCCCCCTCAGAGTTCAGTCACCCACGATTATATGCCTCCTTTTCTTCCTGGTAGCAGTGCTCTTAATGTGAGGAGCAGGCCTCTCTGGTCCTGGTGGCTCCTGTGATGTTCTAGGACTGTCAGCCTTGTTGTCATTAGCCTGTTCTACCGTGCCCAGAGCCCCATACCTGTTGTATAGTGGTACAAGGGGAGGGGATGTGGGCAAGGAGGGGGCTCGCTTGCTGCGCCTACTGCAGACTGGCCTCCATTCACCATTTTCCGGTAGGCCACTGCCTTCCATCCCTTCAGCCCTACAGGGCAAGAGGATGATATCCCTGCGGTCTTTTTTTATTTCCAGTGTCTGTTCCGGTCTCTCTTTCAAGGAGCTCAAGGCCTGGGCCCACCAGTCTATTTCTTTCTCACTCTCCCTGATACTCCTTAGTTGCTCAACTTCCTCCCTGAGCTCTGCCACCAGGCTCGGCAGATCGTCCACTTGCTCACACCTCACACAGCTGTTATTACCGCTACCACTTGCTAGTAGTGCAAGGCTGTGGCACTCTCTGCAGCCTGAGGCCTGGGTGCCAGTGTGTTTCTGAGGGAGCGCTGTCTGTTGCTGCATCTACTCTGGCAGGTGCTGAGGACATGACTTTCCGGCGGGTGGAGACCATGCCTGAGCTACTCTTACCATGTGAACCCATCTCTGGAACTGGAACTGGCAGCACCCTCAGCGACCTTCCTGCACTCCCTTCCACGTGAACTACCATGCAGGGCCCTGTTTGCCCGCTCTGGTCGCTGGGCTCCCTCGGGCTGCCTCTTATGGCAGTGGTGGAGCCGCCGTTGAAGTCGTTCTTGTTCCTGTTCACGTCAGCTGCCCTCGCTCAAACTACCGGCGCCCTGCAGATCCCTGCGTTGCCCTGGCTCTCCCCGGCTCAAAAAAGCTGAGAAAAAGCCTGTTTTTCACTGAGATCAGACGGCTCCGCTGCAGACATGCCTGCACCGGAGCTGTTCATCTTGGTGAGTCTTCCCACTTCCTTTTCACTCCTGCTCCCGTTGTTTCATGCATTGTAGCATCACCAAAATAACTTTACTGAGCAAACTCTATGGAGCTAAAGAAGGCCCTTTCATTGACCCCCAGCAAAGGCCAACCACAAGCAGCATATCAGCTGAAGAAACCAGAAACCTCTGTAATAGATTTCATTCAACGCTTAGCTTTGATGCATAGTCATAATCTCTGCTTTCAGTCCCCAAACTTCTCTCACTTTTTTTTTCTATCAACACATACGAAACACCACGTAACTATACACAGGCCTAGAAAAGATGTTGTAGACAAAGCGAAGTTTCAAATTTTCTACATGACAATCTATGTTAGGGACATTGAAGCCTTGTTTGCGCATCTCTGCCTATAACTGCTTAATCCATTTCATCTCTAAATGACAACACGTAGCATTGCTAGGCAAGGATGTGGATGATAATGGACAAAATTGTGTTACGCTGCATATCCTTTATCTTTTCATCTAAATACAAAATAATATTTGGTTCATGCTGAGAAAATTGTAAAAATGTGTAATCCACATGTCTTCAGTTTATGTTCCCTGTTGGATCTATTCATATTGTTTATAACAGTGTCAAGAGGCTTTTCCAGAAGAAAAAAATCACACCAAAGATCTTCAAAGCAATTCATTAATTAAAATCCACGATCACAAGATTTTATATTACTTATATATCTTTCCCTGTGCATTAACACAGGGAAATCAAACACTACCCACACACGTAGTTTAGAAATACTAGATTTCATAATGGTTCTTCCATTATAGGCAGGTTATTTACATAATGAATTACCACTCAATAAAAATTTGATCATTTAAAATGTCATAGAGGAGCAAATTAGTGATCCACATGTGAAGCAAGCACAGATCAAATTAATTGCATGTGCACGTTACACGGCGAGCATTTTAAGCATTAAGTAAACTACCATTAAATTATTTGGAAAGTAAACAAACCTCAGTGTTCCTTTGTTAACAAATACACATGCCATCTAATCTGCTGCAAATATTGGCATTAGATACAGTCACACTCATAAAAGTAATAGCATATAGTATTGGTCCTTTAAATTTCTCACAGCTGTGTGATTTGCCTTAATTAAGATTAAACCTTTTGTTTCTAAAAGGTCCAGCTTATATAACACAATTAAATTTCCAGTCTGCTTTAATAATCATTAAATGTTATACACACTGAGGACAAAGTGGCCTTTATTCTACAAATACATGTCCGTATGTTGACATATCTGCAGCCACATAAGAATTCCCAAGCCCAGATTCAGTGGAGTACTTACAAAGTCAATTGCAAACACTTTTGCCAGATCTCCACATTAGACTTTCGGCTTCTCCTGGGGTACAGAATTATTAACAGGGTTGAGTACCTTGCACACCCCTTACTAGAGCTTCTCAATATTAAAGTGACATTTAACAATGAATCAGAAATTCTGTACCTGCAGCAGCACAGATTTGGGACAAGACCTAAATGGCGTAATATGGAAAGTGCTAGAAAATAGATGATGGCTCTGATTTTCTGCTGTGCTCTGCCTTGGAGTTTGTCATGATTCTGGCCACAGTAGTTTGGCCTGGCTGACAGAGGTGCACAAGGGGTATCTGAAAGCTGAGTGTAACACCAAAGTTTATGGTGGTACGTGCATTTGTGTGTAAATCGGTCCAACTCTGTGCACATGGGAAACAGTGTGGACTTATGCAGATGTGAACACCTTACCTTCCTTTTCCAGTATCGCCTATTCTCTGTGTAGTGCTTGTTGTTTGAATGGTGGGTCTCAGCACTCATGGGAACAGAGAGTTTGGCCCTGATCATTTTCACACTAATACCCAAAATATGCTGCTCAGCAGAGCTGCTGGTACTCCTAGAGCGTTAAGCAGTTCTGCCCTATCAACACATGCACACAAGGGGTGAACACACTTTATGTGCACTTCCCTAGTTTTGTCCCATCCTCAGGAGGAACTTCAGCCCCAAATATGGCTTTCCAGAATGCAGAAGTATGATGCTCAACTTGTACACTGTACATCTACAGTATTTAAAACTGTCTCGTACTGATAATTTCTACTTCTCATAAATTATTTGACAAGTAAAACCTGACAAATCCTTCACAGTCAACAGTCATCATCCAAGGACTTAAAAAAAGCTTGACTCTGTTATCACCACTAAAAAGAACCAGGGACCTGGGGGTTTGTTGGTGAGAGTGGGTTGCGTGAACAGCACAAAAAAGCTAATGGGATTTTCTCCAAACTTCCTTTCTTAAATAAAACCAGAGGAAATCCAATTCTACAGTCAGTGATGAAGCTACTAACCACTGAAATTAAAAGATTAAAACAGAAGTGTGTCTTGCGTACAGGTACAAGACAATATTATACTTAACTATAACAGTTACCTATTATAGTATATACACCAAAGATATGATGCCATTCTTCAAACAGATGGTAAAATTGAGTTCAGTGTAAAATTGAGATCAGTGGGAAATGCCAAAAAATACGACAGAAAAGAGCATTCTTATTTTAATCCCTAATACACCAAGTCCAGAAAAAGACCAGAAAAAAGCAAGAGAAACTTTCCTCTGAACATCGTACCATCCCACATTGCTCATCTTCATTCTGAAAGCTGGTTGCTTTACAGGAGATCTGCAGACATGAATGTTACATATGTGCTTTTGCAGAGAAGCACAGCACAGTGATTAGTGCATTAACAAAATTCCTGTACTCCTCCATGAATAACGTTGGACCTTGTGTTCCAAGAATAGCACATACTTAATAGCATGGTATTGTCTTTGCTTTGTTTTAATGAGAAACAGAACCTTAGCGAGCAGATAGTGTGTCAGTTCTTGTAATGCTATACGCCATTCAGGTGAATGTCCTCTGGTATGACATTTCATATAAAAAATGCAAAGGCTTTTGCCTCAGACACATAGGTGGATTTTCTTACCTTTGGTTCCATTGAAATGAAGCTGTGGGTACCTCTACTTGACAGAACTGACCTTTTAATTGTTTTACTATGGTAGAAGTGGTAGTAATCCTTCAGTGTTCCAATCTGTAAGGGGAGAGAAGGAAAAAAGGAGATTTAATTTAGGAAAACCAGTTTTCTGTTTTTCATTTCTAAAAGTCTATAAATTATGCAATTTCCTGTGTGCTGAAACGTTACTTGAACCCACTGATCATCTTTCAAAAGAAGGACATATGATATGAAATGGATGGAGTGTCCTTGAGGCAGTAACTGCATAACCAAAGATTATAATTGAGCTGCTTAGTCTGGCTGTATCTACCTTTTTAATGTTTAATTTATATGCAGTACTTCAAGTAATTCTATATCAATCCATATCCAAACTGTCTTCAAATGGCAAGTATAAAAATCATCAAATGGCTATATGGTTATTAAAAAGCATTCCATCTAGTTTGCTTAAGGAAATGTACTGTAAAATGCACTAGATTCGGTTATTTATATAATTAAATTATAAAAAGGACGCTCACAGCATCAGACTATAGAACAGGAATGGGTTTCTCTTTCTGCCAAATGTGGGAAAGAAAGAAGTAGAAGAAAGAAAGATGGAAATGGTAACTTCATAGGATAATGACTATCTCAAAATACAAAATCAGTTCATGCAAAATTGCAAATTTCACAACAGTACAATAAAAATGCTACTTATTCATCCCATCAGTACACAGTAGCAATGTAAATATTAAACTAAGACCACCTTCACAATTTGGCAAAGAAATTTTCTTTTCCAGAGTCATTACTATCTAAGCATTCATAACTTGAAACTTTAGTTTCACGCACCTATAAACAAACATTCAGCCTCCTTATCTTTAGGGAGAATGTCTCTCCAACTCATTTGGACTTTGACCTTCTATTGCACTGCAAATCTTGTAAGACACAATAATTTAGTTAAAAGTTCCTTAATGATGAACAACAAAGGGACAATTAAGTTTACTGTCGTTTCAAGTTGAAACTCAAAGTGACCTCAGAAAACAGGCTTGGTTTTGCAGATAAATTTGAACGAAATCACCAGAGAGGATGGAGCAACACTGAAAACCTCTGATTTAAAAAAAAAAAACACAAACAAACAACAAAACAGTATTCTGAATTCGCATCTATAAGAATACACATGTAGGAAACTTCGGAGTTCAACAGTAAAGGTTCAAAGAGAACTGGAAATAAGCCACTGAAAAACTCCAAGAATATGCTTTTAGAATATTAGAAAACAAAAATCTTGATAAAAATGTCAATGTACACTAAGAAGAAATATTGATAGAAAATCATAATTCTCAAGAAGCACTTGAATATTTTACCTGAAAATTTAAAGATGTAAACAGTACAGGTGAATGAGGAAGAAGCTTTTTGGGGAAAAAAAAATAAAATCAACAATTTAAATTAATTTACCCAATGGGGAAAACTGCAACAGCGTCTAAGATATTAATCCCAGCCCATGCAGTTGGTTCATTGATGTCTTCATTTCAGGAAGAATGATTTATGTTTAGTTTAAGTCAAACACCGAAACATTCAGTTAAGCTGAGTTAGTTTATCATAAATTAAATAGGAATGGGTTTGACTAAGCCTAATTAAAGTATATTAGCACTGGTACAATAATTTTCATGCTGCCTTCCCTTTGAAAGGCAACTCGAGCTGAAGTGGTGCAATTCTGTAGGACGGATGAGCCCCGTTTCACATCTCAACACACATGCCCATGAATAAATCCTCCATAAACATATAAGGGGAAGTCTTCTTCAAGACACCTCAAAGAGATGCAGGACTCTAGGCCTTCTGGGGAGATCCTTGCTGACAGGAAGCTAGCCAATGTTATTCTAATTTACAAGAAGGGCAGGAGGAAGGACCCAGAATGCTACAGAGCTTTTAGCCTAACCTCAGCTCCTGGAAAAAATATGGAGATTATACTGGGTGTTATTGAAAGGGATTTAAAGAATAATGCAATCATCAGGCACAGTCAAAATGGGTTCACAAAGGCAAAGTCCTGTTTAACTAATTTGATATCCTTCTATGATAAGGTCACCCACCTAGTGGAGTAAGGGAAGGCGGTGGATGTAGTTTTTCTGGATTTTAGTAAGGCTTTGGATACTGTCCCTCACAGTATCCTTCTGGACAACTTGTCCAGCTGTAGGATGAGCGGGTTCACGGTGCACTGGGTGAAGAAATGCCAGAATGGCGGGGCTGAAAGGGTTGTAGTGAATGGGGCTACATCTAGCTGGTGGCCAGTCACCAGCAGTGCTCCTCAGGGTTCAGTTCTTAGGGCCAGAACAGGGTTCAGTATATTTATCAACGATCTGGATTCAGGAGTTGGATGCACCATTTGCAGGTTTACTGATGATACCAAACTGGGAGGTGCTGTTGATGCTCTTGAAGGATAAGAGGCCTTGCAGAGGGATCTAGATAGATTGGTGCATTGGGCTATGATTAATAGGATGAAATTTAACAAGTCGAAATGCCAGATTCTGCACCTGGGATGGATTAATGCCAGGCACAAGTATAGACTGGGAGAGGAGTGGCTGGAGAGCAGACTTGCAGAAAGGGATCCGGAGGTGCCAGTTGACATTAAGCTCAATGAGACTCAGCAGTGCACCCTCACACTCAAGAGGGCAAACCACATCCCAGGGTGCATCAAACACAGCATAACCAGCCAGTCAAAAGCAGGGATTATCCCGCTTTATTCAGCACTGGTGCAGCCTCATCTTGAGTACTGTGTGCAGTTCTGGGCCTCACAATTTAAGAAGGATGTGAAGGTCCTTGAATGCATCCAAAGGAGGCCAACAAAGCTGGTGGCAGGGCTGGAAGGAATGTCCTATGAGGAGCAGTTGAGGACTTTGGGTTTGTCTAGTTAGGAGAAAAGGAGCCTAAGGGGCAAACTGATTGCTCTCTACAGCTTCCTGAGGAAGGGGAGAGGGAAGTGCTGATCTCTTCTCCCTGGGATCCAGTGACAGGACAGATGGGAATGGTTCAAAGCTGTGCCAGGGGAGGTTTAGACTGGACATCAGGAACCATTTCTTTACCGTGACGGTGGTAAACACTGGAACAGGCCTCCTATAGAGCTGGTTGATGCCCTAAGCCTGTCAGTGTTTAAGGAGCATTTGGACAACGCCCTTAATAACATGCTTTAACTTTTGGTCAGCCCAGAATTGGTCAGGCAGTTGGACTAGACAATCATTGTAGGTCCCTTCCAACTGAAATATTCTATTCTATTCCATTCCATTCCATTCCATTCCATCACTTTTGACTACATTAACTAGAGTTTATTCTGAGTTTAACAGGCCATAACACATCGAACACAGACCTTTTGTGGACCTTGCTGTCTTCAGAATGAATTACAAACACACTCTGCTGTTTGTGCTTGTGTGTGTGTCTACATAAGCACACCCATTACTGAAACGACACAGCTCAAGCAGGTAACTGAATTTACCGCTGCACAGAACTGCATAAATAGAAAAGTCATATTTTAGGGAAAATAAACATCTGCGCTGTTTTGTGCTACACAGATCTCAATACCACCCAGTTCTCTGTGTCTTATCTTGCACTAGTTTGAGGATATTATTTATTTATTTATTTAATGACTTATTTGCTAAAGAGAAATTCTAGCTGACCTCTCTAAGGGCAACCAAACCAGCAAATTTAGGAGATTACCTAATTGCACCCCTGGAGGTCATACAGTTTAGCAGCACTAGCCACCCACAGAAGAGACTGGAGGGATCTGCATGGTCTGCCTTTCAGCAAAAGGCAGACAGCCTGAGGCTTTGTAAGGCTTGAGACCTGTGCTCCCTCTGAGACCCTGGACTTAGGAGACAGAATTAAGCATTTAGAATTAAGTGTGGTAATTGTAGCGCCAAGTCTTCCAGGCACCATCAGTTTTCAGATAACAACAATTAATAATAATAATAATAATAATAATAAAAAATAAAATAGTGAGATCTACAGCTTGAGTTCATAACTGTCAAGGAAATAAAAGGATCCCAAATCTTTGAAAAGGAATTTAATTCATATTCACTAACTGCCAGTGCCTCTCACAGTAAGGTAACACCAGCGTTATTAAAAATTTTATTGCCCTTTTTTCCCTTAATGGGAATTTACTTAGACCTTCCAAATCCTTGGACCACTTGGAGAACAGTTAAACCATGGAAATATAGCACAATAAAACGCATAATTATGGATGTTCTTGTTGAATTGTTTTTTATACTTTCAACTACCAGGTCTCAGAGGCACTCTCAGAGGAAAAGCAACGCAAAGACAGAAACACCACACTGCAGAGCTAACTGCCTTAGAGACTGATGGCAATTTAACTGTTTTATCCTTGGGAAATCTTTGTAATCTCCTTTTTGACCTGGAGGACCTGACTTCTTGAAAAAGAAATAGAGAAACATTCCTGAGGAATTGCCTAGTCAAAAGCAAGGAGAATGGATAGCGGGGGCAGGGGAGACTTACTTTCTTTAGAAGTAATCTTCAACACTCCACATTTTAAACAGATACATGCATACATTTTAACAGTACCATACTATGTTTATTCAAGGATGAAATAATACCTGGAAGTAAAAATCCTACAATATCACAGTAGAATCCCGGAAAACCAAAGCATCTGCATATTTACATTAATTTTATATACATTAGGTCTTATTTTCTATTTAAAGTTGAGAAAATGTGTGAATTTTAAAGAAAATATGGAACAAGAGCCAAACTTTCTAGGCGTTTCCTTTGAAAATATTTCTTCCATATGTAGTTTTATAGTCTAAGGCAATATTAAGATAATTTAGGACATAATTACTGAATGAATTCATCTAAATCCACATTGTGTCCTTATAAACTCTACAAGGAAATACAAATGCTAAAGCTGCATGTTAAATATACATTACTTATATATAAGATCACCAAACTGACATAGCTCTGACACTACAACTGAAACTTCCATGTAGCATAACATGAGCAGGGAAGCCATTCAAGCTAGTGGGAAGGAACCCAAGATACGCCTTCCCAACAGTTTCTTACCTAGTAAATAAACTTTTTTTTTTCAGACAAGAATCATCTAGGCATGTCGCTGCAAAGTACACTTCTCCCAATGGGCTGAATTGAAAACAATATGCTGTTGAGTTGGTGAATTGGTGAAGATATTGTAAGGGTCCCTGTTTCTCCAGTTTTTAATTACTTTGGTCCTAAATAGCTTGAGAAAGGAAGGCATATCCAAATCTGGTTCTGAACTGTATAAAGTGCTGGAAGAGCCAAAGAAG